AAGCAGAGGCGACGGAACATCACGCACGGTACCTGCGCACCCCTGGAGTTCGCGCAGAAGAAGATCTCTGGCACCAGCGGCTCGGTCACCCCTCGCGCCAAACGTTTCCTGCTAGGAGCCCTACTTCGTCCTGATGGCTCGGAACCACTCAGCACATCACACTCGACCACCTGCACCATCTGCCCCACTGCTGCCCTCACACACCAAGCCTACCCTCGCTGGAGCCGAGCACCAACCGCTACAAGAAGCTGCAGAAAGTCTACAGCAATTACATCGTACTCACCTACGAAGGAGTCAACAGCAAGAACAACACTCTCACCTTCCTGGACACGTTTTCACGCTACGTCTGGCTCGCCAACGTCTACATCCACTCTAAGGCTCGTGAAATCTTCCGCATCTGGCTCGTGCATGCGCAACGGGAATGAGGAAAGAAGGCGAACAAGGAATTTTGCAGCAATGAACTGGAAAGGCTACTCGCCGAGAAGGGGATCAAGCACCACATTTCACTCCCCTACGCTCACCAACAGCAAGGTGTCGCAGAGAGGGTCAACCGCACCCTCATGATAAAAGTCCGCGCCCTCATGAACCAGTCCGACCTACCCAAGAAGTACTGGCCATACGCTATGAACCACGACGTGCGCTTGCACAACCTTCTCTCCACTACGGCGAACAAGGGAAACCTATCCCCGCACATGAAGTGGACCGGGACAAGGGACGATACATCCATGCTGAGAGTTTGAGGGTGCATGGTGTAATACCGGCTGACATCCACCACTATCGGCAAGTTCACCCAGCGCGCACGATGGGGGGCTCACCTGAGACTTAGCCACGAGTACAAGGGCTGGCTGGTCCTCGACATTGACACCAACAAGATCGTACCTGCGCGCGACATCCTCTTCTATGGGCGACTCACACTGGAGCAGTGGATTGAGGACAGGCGCGGCAACGTCGCACAAGCTTACACCAACAACGGGCGTAGCTTCGCCTCTCCAAAAGATGAGGCAGCAGCAGCAAGACTTGACCGCGACCCCTCCGACCAAACATTCCGGCGTACCTCCTTGCCCGCGCAACCCCTGGCCCTGGACCGTCTCGACACAACGTTCCCCTTATCAACCCTACGTCTGCCTATGAGAGCGATGACGATGATGTTGTGGAAGTCACTGCTCAGGAGGCCGCAGACACAACCAACGTCTCGGGCCTACAGCTCCTCGGTCTGCACACAACTATCGCTCCCGCCCCGCGTATCGTCGAGCCCAAAACACCGAGACAGGCCCTCATCGGCCCCCATGCCAAGGAAGGGCATGCGGCCATGGATGCAGAACTTAAGGCACTAGAGTCGCGCGACATGTGGGTTTTAGTCGATCGTGCAGCAGTGAAGGGGAGGAGGGTGCTAAGATGCAAATGGGTCTTCCGTCTAAAAACCGCCGCTGACGGAACCATCGAATGCTTCAAGGCACACTGGGTTGTACGTGGTTACGAACAGCGTCACGGCATCGATTTCGACCAAACCTTTGCCCCTGTCAGCCGCCATACCTCTGTGAGGATTCTACTCGCCATCGCTGCCGCTAAGCATCTACCACTGCGGCAGATTGACGTCAAGAACGCGGTTCTATAGACGCTGGTGGATGCAACCATCTTCGTGGAGCAGCCACACACTTACGGGGAAGGAGACCCTAGGGTCTACCATCTGAAGAACAGTTAAAAATCCCTCTATGGGATAAAACAGGCGCCACATCTCTCGCATCAGCACCTGCACAAAATCCTTCTGAAAATCGGCTTCAGGCAGTTGCCGCACGACCCGGAAATGTACCGCCTTCACTTCAACAGCGATTACATCCTCCTCACAGTTTACGTCGACAACCTGCTGTATACCGGCACCTGCAACAAGCTCCTCAATCAATTCGAGGAAAACCTGGCGCAGCGCGTTGTCATCACCATCAACCACAACATCACGCAGTTTCTGGTGCTGAACATCACCTACGTACCAGAAGCAATTCATCTGTCAGCCTCCAAGTACGCAGAGCAGCTGGGAGAACGCGTTAAATATTTCGCCCGCACCATTCTCAACTCCTTACCGCACTCCCAGCGCTAACTACAAACCGGACAACAAACGTCTGTCATCCGTAGGACTTCAACTATACTAGCAACAACTGGGGTGCCTGCTGTTCGCCTCTGTCACCTGCCGATCCGACCTTTCGTACGTTGCCACCCAACTGGCATAGTACTCTCGCAAGCCTGTAGATGAGAACCAGCTGGACCTGGAGCGCGGCCTACAGTACTTCATCTCCACACCTGACATCGGGCTCTCCTACTCCACGCTGACAACAACCTCCTTCAACCTCTTCGGCTACGTGGATGCATATCATATCGCCAATCCTGCAAATCGACGGTCACAAACTGGCTTCGTCGTCCGCCTGGAGCCAACAGGTCCGATCTCCTGGAATTCGCAGAAGAAGGAACTGGTTGCTCTGTCATTAGCTGAAGCAGAATAGATCGCTCCAATAGCCGGACTTTACCTGCAAGAGTTGCTGAAGGAGGCGAAAATCCCAACTTTGCCCACCTTTTGCCTTCACTGCAACAATCAGAGTGCCATCAAGATCGCGAACAAGCCGGGGTTCGTGAATCGCACGAAACACATCGCGCTTCGATACTTCTTGTCAAGGACGAAACTGACCATGGCAAAGGTTGACCTCACATACTGCCCCACCACCGAGATGGTAGCTGACTTCCTCACGAAGCGACTGCCACGCCAGCAGTACAAGCACTGCTCAGACCTTCCGGGAGTTGTCAAGCGAGTCAGTTCTCTACGCGCCCAGGAATGAACGGGAGTGTCACGATATGAAATTCGATGAGCAGGCATTCCTGTACGCTGTAGGAGCCGACTCTACCGAGTACGAAGTCGAGGAGTCAGAAGAGTCGAAGCGACACCAGCAACCGTCAGATCAAGAGTAATGTAGGCAGAAACATTCGAAATGAAAAGAGCGGAAACAGGTTTAAAACGGGTTCTCGTGCCGCACAGTATGGAATTTTGCTGCAATAAGGGAATGTACCCCTTAGAGTACATGGCTAGTCTAGGTCGTTTTGCATTCTTTTGTATTTCCCATATAAGCTCAGAGTATGCATAGTCTCTGGCTAAATCCTGTTTAGGATTGTAACAAGATTGAACGTGCCAAAATTAGGAGCTAGGTTAGGTATCATGAGTAGGGACGTGAGTAGCGAGAGTAGCGTAAAGAAGAGGGTTTTCAACAATAGCAATGCAAACAAGTTCTAGGAAGAGATGGTGGCAAGAGCGGGGGATACAACTAAAGAGTCAATGTTAAGATGATACTTACCGTCATACCCCGGATATAAGCGCCACCCGCGGATAAGCGCCTGGCGCTTTTAATCGGCGCCCGGCGCTTATATCCGGTGCTCGATTATAAGCGCACCCCCCTGAAAAAACTTGTTTTATTATAAGCGCACGTAAACTTTAAATTTTGAATTGTGTTCGAAACACTGTAACGATTTCTACTTCAGCAGGGGGATGTGTTGCAGATTCGCTTCCCTTCACATTCGGACCCTGCACTGGATGCGGGACCAGTCAGCAGGAGCAGTCAGGAGCTGTCAGAAGCTGTCAGAAGCTGTCAGGAGCTGTCAGAGTAGGTGTATCTCCAGCGCGCGCGAGAAATTTCACAGAACTTCGACTCGATTGAAAAAGGCTAGCACGAGATCTACAGCTTGGTGTTAAAACATATATAAAATATATATGTCGTTTTATAAACGCCGGCGCTTATAAATTTACCCGATTATAAGCCCACCCCCCCTAAAAAAACCTGTTTTATTATTGCCCCCCATGGGGGTATATCCGGGGTATGACGGGTACTATACTAGATATCTACATGCGGTTATAAGATTATAATTTCAACAAATTGTTAGAATGAGAAGAGTATGTGTGATTAGGTGGAGGTTGGGGTACAAGACTAGAGTGTCGAGTGAGTTTCTGTACCCCTTAAGGCTAGCCCCAATATAGCCTAGATACTAACATGCATATGTTTTGACACACCCCCATAGGCGAAATGGGGGATAGCCAGAGCAAGCAATGGTCACAAGACCAGTCAAGAGAAGAAACAAAACACGGCTCAGGGTGGATCACAACGTCACCACACACACTGAGCACAAACAAACGGCCACAAGGCCAGTCCACATGTAGAGGTATATAAGCAGCAAGAACAGCACAGTGATCTCTACCTAGCAATGCAAACATGCACGTATATATATATATATATATATATATATATATATATATATATATATATATATATATATATATATATATAGATCACAGTACAAGCAAGGCCTACAGCAAGTGAGGAAATGTGGGCACAAGCCCTAGCAAAGTGCAGAAACGCTGATGATCACCAGACGGAAGCGCCTTAGTGAATATATCAGCAGTGTTGGCCCGAGTGGCCACGTGACGCAGACGAAGCTGACCACACTGCTGCAGCTCTCGAGCCAGGAAGTAACACAGAGCGATGTGCTTTGTTCTGTGCTCCAGTCTGTGCTCCTCACACAAGGCAATGGCGGCCTTGTTGTCGACGTACAGCACTGGAGGAGAACGAGGCTGCTCTCCCAAGTCAGTCAGCAGGTAGGTGAGCCAGCGCAACTCCTGTGCAGCCATGGCTGTGGCGTAGATCTCAGCCTCACAACTGGAGCTGAGAACTGAAGACGAGCGTGTAGAACGCCACGAAACTGAACCAGAGCCAAGGCTGAAGGTGTAACCCTGTGACGACCGCTGAGTAGCCTGGTCGTCAACCCAAGAAGCGTCTGAGTGCCCAGTGAGAACAACTGGGCTCGTCCCTCCAAGCACTAGCCCCATGCCTGATGTGCTGCACAAGTAGCGCAGTACCCTCTTAGCAGCAGCCATGTGCTCAGGTCGGTGCCGACCAGGAGCCACGTAGCGAGCCAGAAGACCAAGAGGGTACGCGAGGTCAGGACGAGTGCAAGTCATCAGGTACATGAGGCAGCCAACTAGCTCTGGGTAAGGACCACTCGGCTCTACGGACTCGTCCGAAGGTGGAGCTGAGAGCGAATGACCTGTAGCCAGAGGAGTGGCCTGTGCTGAGGACCAGGTGAAGCCGAAGCGCTGAAGGACCTGCTGCACCATGTGTGACTGAGTCAGGGTGATGGTGCGGCGTGCTCTGTCCCGGGTGATCTGCAAGCCAAGGTAGCTGCGCAGCTCACCCAAGTCTGTGCACGTGTGTCTCTTCTGCAGCTCCGACTTCACGTGGGCGAGAGCCTCAGTGTCCGCAGTGGCAAACACCAAGTCGTCGACGTACACGAGGATGTAGAACGGCGGCAGTGAAGTGTCGGTGCGCAGAAACAGCGACGGGTCAGCTGTGGAGGGAGCAAACCCAAGTGCCGCAAGTGTAGTCCTCAGTGTGTCGTGCCACTCACGAGGCGCCTGGCGGAGACCGTAGACTGGCCGCCGGAGGCTCCACTGGGTACCAGGAGGGAACGACCCAGTGAAGCCCAGGGGGCGGCGCAGCCAGATCTCCTCGTGCAGGCTGCCCTGCAAGAAAGTTGTGCTGAAGTCAAGAGAGTGAAGCTCGTAGTCACGGTGAGCGGCAACGTGCAGCAGCACCCGAAGAGTGGTCATCTTCGGGGTGGGGGAGAAGATCTGGAAGAAGTCTACTCCCTCTCGCTGACTGAAGCCTCGAGCAACGTAACGAGCCTTGAAGACAGGCGGAGAACCTGGTGGCCGCTTCACCCTGAAAATCCACATGCCACTGACAATGTTCGCCCCAGGAGGGGGAACCTCGTCGACGTAAGTGCCAGTGGACTTCCAGGATGCCATCTCTGCGTCCATGGCTGTCTGCCACTGAGAGGAGTACTCACCCGCGATCGCCTCAGCGTAAGAGCGCGGGGTCGGGATGTCTGGTGCATCCGGGTCTCCCTCAGGTGCAATCAGCATGGACACGAGATGAGGTACAGCAGCGGCAAAGCACTCAAACTCCTCCTGCCTGTCCTCAAGGACGTCCGTGCCAAGAGCACACTCACCCCCGACGGACGGAGGACAGACAGACTCAGACTCAGCAACTAGACTCGCGGCGTAGTCTAGACGACAGTGAGCAGCAAAGTCGACAAGCTCAGCAACTAAGGCAGACGCAGCAGCGGACTCAAAGGAAGGGTCAGTGACAACAGTGGCCAGGAGACGCGTGACAGTAGGGTGAGCAGCACGTACACGGTCAGACTCAGGGTCTGGAACGTCAGGCAGAGAAGACGCAGGGGGGGACGGCAGTGGAACACGCAGTGGAGCAGTGGACGGACGAAGTGTCATCTGGTGCGTGCCAGGGACAGGAGGAGGACGCGGACGTGGGACACGAGGACTAGTGCGAGCAGTGCGAACGGGCGACGCAGGACGAGACGCAGGCTCACGACGCTCAGCAAGACCTCCTGTCTGCTCAGTGTAAGGAGAAGGGGCAGGCAGTGGTGAGCCAGGCTGTAACGGAAGACCAGTAGACGACGGGAGGGTAAGAACCTGACGAAGAGCAGCGTCAGGCGGTGGCAGAGACGATGGAGACGGCGGAGCAAAGAACAGTCGTGGCTGCGCAGTGCCCCCAGCACCAGCAGCTCCACCACCTCCAGCAGCTCCAGCACCTCCAGGACCAGCGTCACTAGCAGGAGCACCCCCAGAGCCGGCACCTGTAGTCCCAGGGTCTCCTGTCGAAGTGTCCCCAGCAGCAACACCCCCAGACTCAGCACCAGCTCTAGCAGCACCGTCAGCACCTGCACCTCCAGCTCCAGCAGCACTCGCTCCTCCAGTAGCTCCAGCAGCACCTCCAGGCCCAGCAGCTCCAGCACCTCCAGCGCCAACCCCAGGGTCGGCAGCCACACCAGCACCAGGAGCTCCAGCGCCCTCAGCTCCAGTGTCAACAGTACTCCCAGCTCCCACAGTACCACTGTGGCGGCGGCAGTACCGAGAGTACCACTCACGCAGCTCCAAGGAAGAAAGAGTGCCTCTAGGCGCAGCACCCCCAGGCTCAGTAACCCCAGGCACAGCACCCCCAGGCTCAGTACCCCCAGTGTCAGCACCCCCAGGCGCAGCACCCCCAGTGTCAGCACCCTCAGGCCCAGCACCCCCAGCGGCAGCACCCCCAGGCTCAGCACCCCCAGTCTCCACACCCCCAGGCTCAGCACCCCCAGTCTCGGTACCACCAGACCCAGCACCACCAGGCTCGGCACGCTCAGGCTCAGTACCTCGCGCAGGACCAGAGTCGACAGCTACCTCGACAGGCTCGACCGGGTCTACCTGGGAAACACCTGAGGTTGCAGGACCCTGGGGAGGCAGGGGGTCTACCACAGCAGCACCTGGAGTGAGGAAGAGCGGCGGAGGGGGGAGCGGGGCAGTGCGGTAGGGGAAGAGACGGTAGAAGGGGACCGACTCGTCAAACGTGACGTCCTGAGAAGGGAAGACACGGCGCGAGGCAGGGTGGTAAAACTGCCAGCCAGACGCGTCAGGGACAAAGCCAAGGAAGACACAGGGGAGGGTACGGGAGGAGAGCTTGTCCGCGGACGCATCGCGGACAAAGGCACGAGATCCCCAGACTCGAAACACCGACGCATCGCCAACCTCTCCCGTCCAACGCAGTGTCGGCGAGGTGTCCGGGTCAGAGACACGGGGCCAGAGGTTGAGCTGATGCGCGGCGTACCGTACCGCAAACGGCCACAGAAAGTGGGGGGCAGCCGCATGGACCAAGGAGGTACGAGCGACCTCCATGACCAGGCCAATGCGGCGCTCAGCAACCCCATTCTGCTGCGGAGAGGCCGGAAGCGTGAACGTCTGCTCAATGCCCTCCCCCTGACAGAAGGCTCTCAAGAGGTCGGAGGAAAACTCACCACCTCTATCAGAGTGCAGTCGCAGGACTGGAAGGTCCGAGCGAAAGCGCCTCTCCAGCTGGAGACGGGTAGTGCGGATCCAAGGGATCAAGACATCAGGGACCTCACCCTTGGTGCGCAAGGGGAAGACCGTGGTGTAGCGCGTGTAGTCGTCAACTACCAGCAGAAAGTAGCGCTCCCCGCCCTGTCCACGGACGCGGGCGGGGCCCCACACGTCCATGTGGAGTGTCTGCAGAGGAGCCTCTGTCGGGGGAAACTCGGAGGAGTGAGGAGCGGCGCGCTGCCGCCCCTCGACACAGGGAAGACAGGGAGGCGCAGGCGAGGGTGGGAGGGGAGGGAGAACCCGGGGAAGACCAGAGACAAGGAGGCGACGGTGCATGCCGCGAAGGCGCTGCACTGACGGGTGACCAAGGCGGTGGTGCCAGAGGACAGTCTGGTGGGACAGGGAGCGACACAAGCAGGGGGCCGACAGCTGACCTGACGCAGACGCAGACGCAGCGACCTGAGGGGACTCAGTGGTTAGTGTGTACAAGTCCGACCCCGGCTCCCTAGTGAAGGTAGCAAGGTGGCGACCCGTCCGGGCACACGTACAGTGGGTCACACGCTCATAGGCAGGGGTGAACTGGTGAACACCCCCGTCCTGTAGAGCAGAGCCCGCCACCAAGTTCGTAGAGAACGAGGGGAGGTAAAGACCTGACAGGGTGCCAGACGGGACCGCAGGACACGGGAGGACAGTGGAGGAGGTCGCAAGAACCGGACCCCCGGAGGGGTCAGCCAGGGAGACAGCAACCGGTCTAGGAAGCTGCTCGAGGGCAGTGCGGTCGCGAAAGAAACAGCGGGAAGCACCTGAGTCCAGGGTGAAGGTGTGCAGTGCCGCAGTAGACGCTGTACCTGAAGGCGCAGTCTCACAAGCACCTGGGGCAGCAGACACACCTGCACCTAGAGCAGTTGTCTCACCAGGACCTGGGGCAGCGGACGCACTAGCACCTAGAGCGGCAGCCTCACTGGTCGCAATGCCTGGGTCTGGTGGCACACACAAGTAACAGTCACCCTCAACACTAATAGTCAATGCATACATGGCTCCAAGAATAACATCAAAGTCAAGTGCAAATACATCAATGTTCTTTTTAAGCAGATCAGCCCAGCGGGGCAGCTCAGAGGCCTCCGGGAACTGTGCACGCCAGGCATCGTCTAGACGAAAGAAGCAGCGGTGCGGCGTGTGGAAACGCCCACACGTCTGACCAGCGCGGTCACCGGTGCGGATGACATACGTGCAGGTGCCTCCACCCCCAGACCCCCCATGCTGAGAGTACCACTCACGAAGCTGCTGGGACGACGGGGTCTCTCCAAGACGCTGCTGCTGGCGCTGGGCACCACCCGAGCCTCCACGCTGCGCTGGTCCACCCCGACCACCACCCGAGCCGCCGCCACCACGCCCACTGCCGCCACCACCACCACCTCCACCCCGGCCTCCCCCACAACCACTGCCGCCACCACCCCCGCCGCTGCCACCCCCGCCGCTGCCACCTCCGCCGCTGCCACTGACCCCCCCAGCCCCGCCACCACCCCCACCACCGCCACCACCCCCACCGCCTCCACCTCCACCGCCACCCCCACCTCCCCCACTGGTACCGCCGCCACCCTTGCCCCCCTTGCCCTTGCCGCTCTTGCGCCTCCAGCTAGGAGCAGACGCAGCCCCGACGTCCTCAGCACCGAGGAAGTCGACAGCGGCAGCAGAGGCAACCGAGGGGAGAAGGGGGGAAGGGGAACACCCGTCGAAGAAGGGCGTGCGGGGGTCGCCACGAGAGGCACCTACAGCAACTATACTAGCCTCAGCTGCAAGCAGATGCTTCTCGAGCAGGTCAATGGTGAGCTCGGTAGGGCAGAGGGCGAGAAAGTGGTCCCTGACTGCGCGAAGAGAGTCAGGGAGACGGGTGACTAGGTGGTAGAGAACGAGGTACATCGGTGGGGGGTTCTTGGCGAGAAACTCAGCAGGGAGGGCGGCTCGGAAGCGAGTGTCACTGGTGCGGAGGTGTGTAATGAGGTCAGCGACTGTGGGAAAGGCGGCGAGATCGGGGAAAAGATAGGGCAGAGAGAGACGGCCTATCGTAGCGGAGGCAGGTGAGGAGTAGCGGGCGACTACTGCATCGTACAGCTCCTTAGCAGTCTTGTGCTGGCCAAAGTGCGCGCGCTCATCTAACGGCAGGTGGCTGCGAATGGCTAGGCGAGCGTGGGCGTCACGAGTCTGCCACTGGGAGCGAGCTGTACTGTCAGCAGTGTCAGCAGGTGCGAGAGCGGTTCCGGACGCGTGGTCATACAGCGAGACGTCATCCTTAGCGGTGATCTGGAGGAAAAGGTGGAGATCGTCAAGCCAAGCATCAAACTGGAGCGGACGGCCCTCAGCATCGAAAGAGAGAACTGTGGGTGTAGCCATAGTGGCAGTAGCGGCAGTAAGAGCAGTAGTAGGAACAACTGTAGTGAGAAGAACAGCTGTAACAGCAGGAACAGGGACAGTAGGTGCTGCAAAACCCTAAACCCTAAACAGTAGGCTCAGTCAGGGCGGCGCGGCTCGGGCAGGTAGGGCAGCGCAACGGCGGGCCTATGCACGGTGCGCGGCGGCGCCTAGGGTTGCAGTTGCGTGCAGGCCGCGGCTGGGGTCCTGCTGCAGCTAAGCACGAGCTGCAGCTAAGCGCGAGCTGCAGCTAAGCGCGAGCTGCAGCAGCCGACGCGCGATCGCCACTGCGCGCGGGCTGCGACCTGCGGGCGGGCGGCGGCGTTACGAGCGCCGTCCTAGGGGCGAGCGGTCGGGCGTGGGCTGCACTCGCGCGCAGGCAGCGGCTACGAAAGCAGGGGCGGCGGCCTACGGGCGACGCGAAGCCCTACGGGCGGGCCGACGGGCGGCTAGCGACCTGCTCGTGGGCGGATCGAGCCGCGCGAGCGGCCTATGGTCGTCGCGCACGCGATTCGGGCCGCGCGCAGGCTGCTAGCGGGCAAAAAACGAGGCCGCGCGCGGGCAAAAAGGGGGCCGCGCGCGGTCGTCTAGCGGGCTACGCGACCAGGAAACGAGGCGCGCGAGGGCGCACGAAAGGAAGAAGGCGCTCGAGGGCGCTAGCGGAAGGGCGTGTTGGGCTGAGATAGCCCCTTAGGATCTTTTCAGGGGAGAACTCTGGGTAGGACAATTTGTCAGAGGTCCACTGGTGATCCTCGATTGATCCTAGGGAAGGGTTACAGGCACGGCGGCCTGGGGGGTTATGGGCGCACTCACCCGCTACACAAACAAGCCCTTTTATCCCAGTGGTTAGTGGCTGGGATTCTGACAATTGTAATAGCGGAAGCTTTTAGTGAAGTAATTGTGAACCACCTTGCGCTAGTATGTGAGGGCAAAGTAGATTAATTATAACAGGAAAGTACAAGAATATATAGTGGTGTAAGGAATATCAAAGGATACGGTTATAACTACTTTTACTGTTGCTGTTGCGGTTCGATACAGTACGACTCGGGCAACTGCTCTGTAACGAGTCAGTTGTATGTCCTTAACTGTCGCGCTGTACTTGTCGGGTCAAAGGTCAGCGACCTTTGACCTTCGCGTAACCTCCAGCAACCTCTTCAACCCCCGAGGGTTGACTCGCGGGTGCTTCGGTGTAGTTTGCCTCGCTTCTGATGCGGTGTTTTCGACACGACTGAAGCGCTTAGGTCTTATTGTTTCCAACACTCCCCTTCGCTTCTGGAGTGTCGCTGCTGGTGACGTGGCCCTGTCCAGTCAGCAGCATGCAATACTCGAACTTTTGCTTTCCGAGTTTCTTGGTCAAGTAGTCAGCTGCCATCTCGGATGTGGGGCAGTATGACAGCTCGAGTCTCCCCTTCTCGATCTCGTCCTTCACGAAGAAGTAACGTAGGGCAATATGTTTCGTCCTGTTCGCGAAGCCGTTCTTGTTGGCGATGCGAATTGCTGACTGGTTGTCGCAGAACACGTTAAAGTTGGGTAACTCGGCTAACTTCGCTTCTTCCAGTAGCTCGCGAAGATAGAGTCCTTCTTTGGTGGCTGAGCAGAGTGCGATATATTCTGCTTCAGCTGAAGATAGCGCGATTAACTCCTGCTTGCTTGACTGCCAGGAGATAGGACCGATAGGCTCGAGGCGGTAGACGTAGCCGGTGCGTGAGCGTCTGTTGTCAGTGTCGCCGGCGTGATCGGCATCGACGTAGCCGATTAGCTTGGTTGGTGTAGCTGCGTTCTTGTGATAAGTTAAGCCGATCATTGCGGTGCTGATAAAGTAGTGCAGAGCGCGGTCAAGTTCCGCCAGGTGTTCTGCTTCAGGCTTCTTGAGATAAGTGGCGAGCTGGCTTGCGGAGTAGGATAGGTCGGGTCGGCAAGTGACGGCTGCGAAGAGAAGGCAACCTAGCTTCCTCTGATAGTTGCGTATGCCGGCGGATTTAAGTGGGGTAGATTCCTTATCGGCTCCTGTCGTGTAGCGGTATGGTGTTGAAATCGCGGCTGGCGTAATTCCGAATCGTTTGGCGATGGCGTCGGCGTACTTTTCGGCGCTGAGGTAGATCGCGTCGTTATCTTCTCGAATGTTAAGTCCGAGATACTGTGTGACGGTAGATGAGACAGTGAGGGTGAGGTCCCTCTGCAGCTCCCCTTCGAACCAGGTGGTGATGCTGTCGGTAGAGCCGATGTAGAGAAGATCGTCCACGTAGACAATTAGCAAGATGTAGTCGCTGTTCTTCGTGAGGCGGTACATGCCCTGATCGTGCGGGAGTTGTTTGAAGCCGATGCGGATGAGACGAGTATGCAGGTACTGCTGCCACAGTCGCGGTGCCTGCTTGATCCCGTAAAGCGATTTTAGTAGCTGGCAGACATGCGTGGAATTTGTATTGGAGTCGTGCGGTAGTTCCACGAAAATCTCTGCATCGACCGGTGCGTAGAGAAAAGCGTTTGCGACGTCGATTTGGCGCAGTTTCTTTTTCTTCATAGCGGCGATGGCGAGAAGAATTCGAAGTGAAGTGTGGCGGCTGACCGGAGCGAAGGTTTCGGTGAAGTCTCGTCCATGTTCCTGGTCAAAGCCGCGAACGACCCATCGTGCTTTAAACTTGTCGATGGTGCCGTCGGCCTTCGTCTTCACACGGAAGACCCATTTCCCGGTAAGAATGGTCTTGTTTCGCGCTACACCGATGGGAACGACTTTCCAGGTGTTGCGTTCCTCTAATGCCTTCAGCTCCTTGTCCATGGCTTCGCGCCATTTTTCCTTATGCTCCCCCCCCAGAGCCTGTTGAACTGTCGCAGGCTCCTTAGGAATGTTGACGCCGTGGACCGCGGTGACGAGACCAAGGATTTGGAGTCCGCTCTGTGTGTAGCGGGGGAGTGTGGTGTCCTCGGGATAGACTGCTTCGTCTCCAGTTTCTGGATCGGGTGTGAAGTTGGGCCCTATGCGTTCTGCTTCGTTGGTGTTGACTTCAGCAGGTGTAACGTAACCGTTGTCGGCGAAGTGGTAGTAAGTTTCGGCGTTGACGCTTTCGCGAGGGTTTTCTTCGTCCATCGGTACGTCCACTGAGCAGTAGGGAAGAGGTCCGGCTTCTTCCGAGGCTCCTTCCACATTCTGCTCGTCCCAGTCAGCTTCGTCTTCTGTCGAAGCGAAGGCTCGATCGCCACGGAAGCCGCCTGTGGGGTCTCGATTTTCGTCCAGGTTGGCAAGGTACGTTGGCAGTGTGAGTCGTTCGTAGAAAATCACGTCACGTGCTGCTACTGTTTCTTTGCTGTTGATATCGAAGATCTTCCATGCGTTGTAATGTTTTTCGATGCCCAGGTGTAGTCCCCACTGTGCGCGTTGGGAGAATCGGCCGGCTCGTGCAGATGGGGGTCGGTACTGTACCATGCAGCCGAAGACTCGTAACATTTTTGTGCTGCCCAGTTTTCCTGTCCACAGCAGATGCGGTGATGTGTTGTTCGGGAGTGACGACGAAGAAAGCAAGTTGTGCAGCATTACGGCGTGGTCCATTGCTTCGGGCCACTGGTGGTTGGGTAGCCGCATGCCACGTAACAGTTTGCGCATGGTGTTCTGCAGAGTCCTGTTCATCCTTTCTGCTACACCCTGCTGTTGATGGGCGTAGGGAAGGGAGATGAGTCTCTTGATTCCCTTCTCCGCCAGGTACTGCTTGAATCGCTGTGACGAGTATTCTCCTCCTCCGTCTGATTGGAAGCTTTTGAGTTTAGCTCCCGATTCCCGTTCTGCTGCTGGAAGCCATGCCACGAAAGCCTCGAAAGCCATGTCGCGACTTGGTAAGTTTAGGTGCCAGACGTAGCGTGTAGCGGCGTCGATGAAGGTGATGGTGTAGTTATACGCGTTTTGTCCGGGTTCGCGGTTGTACAAGATGTCGCTGTATACTTTCTCGAGTGGTGCATATGCAGGTGCGCTTGGGTTGTGATGCGAAACGAAGGGCTGATGCGGTAAGTCAGCTTCGGGGCAGGTGAAGCATGTTCCTCGAGCTCGCTGAAGTTCTCTGCCGTCTGTTAAAAGCAGAGAGTCCTTGTCGAGTACTCCTGCTCGAATTGTGTTGTTTAACACAGTGTTGCTTGGGTGTCCCATTCTTGCGTGCCAGATTTCTTCGTTGGCGCGATGACCGGGTGAGCGCTGATACATGTCGGAGTTGGAGTAGAGACCGGTGGTGAAGTTGGGACTGTGATGAAATTCTCGTGGTGCTGGCTGAAGCTGTTGTGCAGGTGTTGGTGGTGCATCGTCGTTGAAGAGCGCCGTCGTTGAAGGACCGGCGACTGGTGTCGTCGTTGTCGCTGTTGCTGTTGTTGTCTCTGCTGCTGCCGACGTTGTCTCTGCTGCTGCCGACGTTGTCTCTGCTGCTGCCGACGTTGTCTCTGCTGCTGCCGATTGTTGAATCGCTGCTAATGCTCTTGTTCTCTCTGTTTCAGGAATGGTATGTGAATACCAGAAGCCGCCTGGACTGAAGTCGGGGTCAAGATCCGGAGGGTGTGTCCAGTTGGTAAAGTTGACTATGGCGTCACTGTCAGCGGTGCCGAGATCAGGAACGAAGTCCAAGACGAAGACGTTGTTTTTAAGGATTGCCTTCCCGATGTAAAGACCTCCTCTCCCGTGGTACAGCTTGAATTCTTGGGTAGTGCTGTCTGCTTCGAGGTGGATGCCTTTCGCCATCAACTGACTCACACTGAGAAGGTTGTATCCGAGGCCTTCTGCGATTAAAACTTTGGACATTTGCAGAATGACGTTTGTCTCCCGTGACTGAAGTTGTACAATTCCTTGTCGTCGTGTGTACAGGTTTTGATTATTGGCGACGGTGATGACGACCTCTCGTTGAAGCTGATACTCTCTCTGTACGAAGCGTCCCGAAGAACACATGTGTTGTCCGCAGCAACTGTCCAAGAACCACGTGTCTTTTCCGGATGGCTCGTTTTGGGCGATGGCAGCGTATGTCGGATTTGGTTGAAGTGCTTCGCGACGAGGTGTGGTGTTGTCGAGTTGTTCTTCCGGTGAGTAATGAGGTGGTGAATCCATGACGCAAGAGTCACTTAGTCTTGCCATGCAGCTAACGATGTTTCTTGCTCCTTGCGCAGGTTGTCCCGTTGAGGTTGTTGAAGCTTGGATCTGGGTCGTTGGATTTGCTTGCGTTGACGCAATTTGACTGCTTGAAGGTCGAAGGTGTCGTTGCGGGGTCGTTGACTGTTGACGATTCGGGCAGTGCGTGCGCGGGTGCCCTGAAGTCTTGCAGATGTGACAGAAGGGAGGTACTGGCTTCGGCTGTTGTTGTCTGTTGCTGTAGTTGTTGTGTCGTCGTTGGGTGTGAAATGCGAACTCTGACGTTGTCGTCTTCTTCCTGTGTCGTTCTTCTTGCAGATCCATGTCCTGCTGTTCGGCGTGGATTTCGGCGCAGAGTGCTGCCTCAGAAATTCGTCCGTGGGCTCGGAGGATGGCCTTTGTTGCGCGCCACTGAGGGCCGAGGCCACCGATGATGACCGTCACGAAGGCGTCCTCAGAGATTGATCCTCCACATCGAAGAAGCTTGTCGCGCAGTTCGCGACATCGACTGATATATGCCATTCCTTTCTCTCCTGGTTTCATCTCAACTGTTGTCAGCTGCGCCATTAACCTGCTCTGGTTTACACTGTCTGTTGCTTGATACAGGCTCTTCAGATGGTTGTACGCGAGCTCCGCCGAGTTGCCGAAGGCCCGGTAGGACCGAATGTTCTGCTGTTGGGTTGGTGTTAAGTTCCTCAGTAGGATCGTATACGCCATCATCGATTGATATGTGTACTGCTGCTTCTCATACTGTGTGCCGTTTGCTGGATATTGCAGGGACCCGTCGAAGAAGCCAAGTATCTGCGCGCCCTCCATCATCAACTCGAACTCAAAGGACCAGGTGAAGAAGTCCTTTCCGTCGAATGGTCTTGACGTCTGAAGCTTCAAAACGTGTGCGAATTGCGACTGTACTTGTAACGCGTCCAGTGATTTGTCTTGTGCAGGCGAAGACTGCGGCATGAAGCTGATTGACCCGCGTTCGTACGGGGCGAAGGTAGGTTGCTGCTGTTGATTTCCGCGCGCGTATGACGACCCATCAAGGCTCATGGGTGTCACTCCGTTGTTGCTGTTGTGTGTCTGTGCAGGTCCCGACTGCTGGTGCTGCTCGTAGAAGGACATGAAGGAGAAAAACTTCTCCATCATGCTCTGGTCAAAGCCCGTGGGGCGATTTGTGAGAGTCTCGGTGGACGTTCCCCTAGGTCTTGTTGCTGTGCCTTCCTCTGTCTGCAGGCCAGAGGCAGGAGGTGGTGTAGGAGTAGTCCCCGGAGAGCCACTAGAAGAGCTCCTCTCCTTGTTTGTTGCCATGTCTTGTAATGTCTTTGAATTGAAAAGGTAGAATTTCCCCTGACCGCTCTCATACCATGTTGGGCTGAGATAGCCCCTTAGGATCTTTTCAGGGGAGAACTCTGGGTAGGACAATTGTAATAGCGGAAGCTTTTAGTGAAGTAATTGTGAACCACCTTGCGCTAGTATGTGAGGGCAAAGTAGATTAATTATAACAGGAAAGTACAAGAATATATAGTGGTGTAAGGAATATCAAAGGATACGGTTATAACTACTTTTACTGTTGCTGTTGCGGTTCGATACAGTACGACTCGGGCAACTGCTCTGTAACGAGTCAGTTGTATGTCCTTAACTGTCGCGCTGTACTTGTCGGGTCAAAGGTCAGCGACCTTTGACCTTCGCGTAACCTCCAGCAACCTCTTCAACCCCCGAGGGTTGACTCGCGGGTGCTTCGGTGTAGTTTGCCTCGCTTCTGATGCGGTGTTTTCGACACGACTGAAGCGCTTAGGTCTTATTGTTTCCAACAGGGCGGGCCCTTAGTACAAGGTGGTCCTAGGTTCCTAACCTAGGCTTCTGATGCCATGTTAGAATGAGAAGAGTATGTGTGATTAGGTGGAGGTTGGGGTACAAGACTAGAGTGTCGAGTGAGTTTCTGTACCCCTTAAGGCTAGCCCCAATATAGCCTAGATACTAACATGCATATGTTTTGACACAAATATAGTCCAAGAAAATTTGATATATTTCCTTATTGTAACACAAGTAGGAACCCATACTATCTAGTGTGAAACCTAACCTAGCCTAAAAAATATACATCTACAAATGTAGAATTGTACGTTGATATGGATCTAGTTTTATTGCCTTATGTTCATGTTTGTAATCAGCCTTATTCACACACCTAGTCGAGGAAAAGAAAAAAAACTAACCATCCTTGATGTGAAGATTAAAGATAAGACGTACTGACGCCGATACGAATCTAAATCTGAAGTAGTGATGGACAATGTTATGTGGAAGGAATAGATATCTACCTGAAGGTGTATACTATAACAACCTTTTCTTGTAACGAGTACGCCTTCATCCAGCCCCAGCACAAATGGTGAACTTCAAGCCTATCGTCCTGTGAGGCCAGGCCATGGACGTGGCGTCTAAAGTTAATTTTTTTCCTTCAGCCCCATTCATTGTATGATGAGACAAATGTTCGGTGAATATACATTTGCTGCATTTCGATGGACGCTCTGGGACGGAAATGGGGGTCAGCGGATCAGATCCCGTGAGTTTTTTCTCTTGTCCAAGTACCCAAACTATTGGTGGTACAGCTACAATCAAGTACAGGCGTAGTTGGTCAATATAAATTCCTTGGGTGGGTTGGTACTTCGTAAAAAAAACCACAGTTGAGATCCTGAAGTCCAGATATGCGCAGCGTCTTAGCCTTGCGCGGTTCGTGCGCTGTTGGCGGTGCGAACAGCATTCCACATTCGTGCAGGGAACGAGTTCCACAATTCCGCCCACAGCTCCAACCCCCCTCCCAAACACAAGCACCCACCTTTTGGGGATGACACTACTGAACTTCCCAGCGACGAAACATAAACATATCTACAAGCTGGTATCAGCTTGCCCCCTTCATGCCGTCACCAGTTCACCATTCAACACACACCAGGTTTGGAGCACGAAAGCATGCCACAGTTATGCGTCGGCCAACGCTGGTCTTGTAACGCATGTCGCGACGGCTCCAGCTCGGCCCTATGCTGCAGCGATCATGACTACATCCACATCTCGAATAGGCTCTCATCCGTCTCCCACCTGCACCCAAGCTTTCTCTTTTCCAACAACGCCCGCTAGGTCAAGCTTCGCTTATTCTCAATCAGGCTATTGCTATGCCTTTTTTTACCCAGCCAAGCGCAGCTGACACTCCCTGTTTCTTCCATTAATCCCTTCCTCGCTTAGCTCGAAATGGTTCTATTCTCGGCGATTGGAGCTCTCTGGCATTCCACAATAGAAATGGATTGACTCGATGTGAGGTATAGTAGTTGCACGCTCTTCTCCCGTGCTCTCCACTATTCGCAATACCACATACAGACGAAGCACACTCTAGTTCCAGAAAAAAGCTTCAGTCAGGTTTAGTCAATACGCAAGGAACAACAGAGGCTAAGACTAATTCTCTCAAACTGTTCTTTTGTAGGTAGGGAGAGTGACTCATGCCAAATACCCAAAGCATCACAGTGCGCTTGAGCATATCACAATCGAGGTGACCGTCGCTAGTTGATACCGTGTGGTTGACATCGCAGTTTGCGTCCAAAAAAAAAAAACGTCGAAGTTGCACCAAACTGGGCGATAGAGTGGAATCCTATAGGTGGGTACTTGGAGTAGGAAGCGGTAAACATTCCAGACCACCACGCAGACCACGAAAATCACACGAGGCGAAGCTTAGGCCGCGCTGCCTCTTGTATGCATGGCTGCGCTCCCCTGTGCAATCGCAGCCTGCGAGTTTCCCCGTCTCTCCACCCACTTCCCGTCTCCACCCACTTCCCGTCTCTCCACCCACTTCTCCCTTCTTCCCTTTCCCGCCCATGCCAGCAGCGAACAAGACCGCGCTTATATCGAGGAGTGCTATAGAACGGTCAAAGCTGGTCCTTCGCAACCGGGCTGTACTTGAGCCAACTGGGCATCCGCCGCGTTTCTCGGCGCCGTTCACGCGCATCACGCGTGGAGCGGGTGGTGCCACAGGAAAAAAAACATTCTCGGTAGAAGGTTTCTCACGAAGGGTACCATCACCTAAAGATGACGATAACTTCGACGTATCGGAACGGACCCGTGAGGGGACAGGACCCGAGGTACGTGAGAAACCGTTTCCCTTAATTATTATTCGACGATTTATGCTTTTGAATTGTTCAGTATTTCTTATTGGAATAATTTGATAAGTATTTCTTTGCGACTGTTCCATCGCCAGTGTCTTCCTAATCTGTTTGCTTTTAGGTGTGCATGCTGTCTCGTATGGACGCATCACGCGTTGCTGGCGTCATCGTTTGTATACATCATGGTAGATATTTGGCCCGGAAAGCATATTCATCATTATCCTCCCACAATCTTGCTCTTATTGCAACCGTAACAGGGGGGCGGTCGGCCCGCGCACTTCTAGTTCCGCGGGCCGCCGTATTCTCTCTCCGGGCACCGCGACATCTTTCCGCCCGACGATTCTCGCGCAGCCAATCGCGGAAGACATGGTGCTTCCCCAGCCCTCCGACGCGATTGGCTATTCCTCCCTCCCCGCTTCCCTCTCCGGCGCGGGGAGCCTCCTGCTGCAGCAGGCTGCTGCTGCGGCGGCGGCTGGTGTGCGCGCGGGCCCGTCGAAGCAGGCGCAACCCTCGGTGGAGCAGCAAGTGGAAGGGAAGAAAGCTGCTCCGGACAACACTGGCCTGGTGCGGTGCAGCTCGTTGTATTTAGAGTAGTATATTTATTATATGGAACAGGTCCCGACATTTTCCGTTTCATCTCCAAGCTGGTTGTGCGTTGTTTTGAGTCGTTTATCTTCACAAACTTTCCTGCCCTGATTTCGTCGCTGCGAAGCCTCCTACAAAAGTAACATTTCCGTCTGGTTTCGCCCCCTCGTCGTAATGTGCAGACCCCCATGGATTTCAACCCTGGAATTATCGCGTCGATCAACCTACAGAGCAACAAGCAGCATCAGCAGCAGCGACTGCAGCAGCAGCAGGAGCAGCAGCAGCAGCAGCAATCGTCCACGTCAGCACCCAACACTCCAACCAAGAGGAAATCGTCGCAACCTCCTCCCGCGTCGTCGTCGCTTCTTACCGCGCAGGTCAAGACCCAGACCTCGCAGATCCCCCGCCCAGGTTCGGGAGGTCGCCGAGCCGCAGGCTTCTCTCGTTCTGATTGGCTCCCGCGATCCGAGTCGCTCACGCGCTACTCCCGCCGCGCCAACGCCGCCGCGTCTACCGCTGGAGCGAGCGCTGCGAAAGAGGAGGGCAAGAGCAGCAGCGGGGGCGGGAGCGGCAGCGGCAGCGGAAGCGGCAGCGGCAGTCACGGCGGCAACCACGGCGGCAGTGGCGGAGCTGTCGGAAAGTCATCCGCGGGTTCTGGCGCGGAAAGCGGAACGGACGACGAGCTCCCCCGATCGGATTCCCTTCCGCGCATCCTCAATGCGGTCGCGAACCGGCTCACTGGCGGGCGCGCGCACCACGCGAACTCGCGCGCGCAGCACGCTGCGGAGAGCGGAAGCGGGAGCGGGAGCGGCGGAGGTGGCGGAAGTAGCACCGGCGGAAGCGCTGGCGCTGGTAGCGCCGGTGCCGGCGGCAATGTTGGCGGCGGCGGCGGCGGCGGCGGCAGTTCGAGCGCGACTCCGATCCCAACCGGCCTGGTGCGCCCACCATCACTCCCGTCCCCCTCGCCTCCTCCCCTCGCTCGTCTCCCGTCCTCGCCTCTCCTCGTCTCCTCCCGCCCCCGCAATCACTTATTCCCGGGCCTGTGCCCGTGCTCCGTGCCCATGCTCCACCATCCCCTCCTGCTCATACCCTCCCCCCTCCCCCTCCCGACCCCCCCCCCCCTCCGTTCCCCTCGCCCCACTTCCTCCCTGCTGCCTTCCATCTAACGATGTCGCACAACTCCCGACTGAGTTTCTCCTCCCTTGCCCGCGCGTCTCATCTGTTGTCCATGCTCGCCCGTCTCTCACTGAATCGTGTCATCTCTCTGCGTGCGTGTCTGTGCATGTGTGTGCGACCTTGACCCCGCTGTCCGGTGCGTGCAGGGATCACCCGCATCAAAGGCCAAGGGACCCAAGGTTCGTCCTGCGCTCCCCTCCCCTTCTTCCGCCCTGCCCACCCTTTCTTCCGCTCTGCCCTCCCCTTCTTCCGCTGTGCCCTCCACTGAAACCTCCGTTGACTTTCGTTTCCCACTCGTCTCTCCCACTCTGTTTCACTTCTCTCTCCCTCTCCGTTCCTCCATCCTCTCTTCATCCTGAAAGCACCATCTCTTCTCTTCGCATCTCTCACCACTTCTCGTTCCTTCCTATATCCTCCCGTCTCTTTTTCCCCATCCCCTCCCGTCTTCCCTTTCTCTCTGCGGATTTCCCTTTCAGTCTGCCTCTCTTTCCCGCCAACCGTGAACCAAACTTCTTATCCCACCGCCCTTCACCTATCCACTCACCAACCCTCCCCCCGCCTCCCTTTTCTGCCCCTCACTTACTCCCCTTACCACTCTACCCTTCTTTTGACTCCCCCTTCTCCCCTCAACCCCCCTCCCCCTCCCCGCATTCCCCCGGTCTCCTTCCCCGATTCCCCTCCCCTTCTCCCGGCATTTCCTTACCCCCTGTCTCCCCCTTTCCCCGCGCGCAGTGGACGCTCAGCAGTCTGGGGAGGGACCCCAAGGCGGACATGGAGGCTTACCGCCAGCGGGTGAGCGGGGGCATGCGCGGAGGGGGGAAGGGGGTGGGGGAGAGAGGGATGCACGGAGAGGGGAATGCTCGGGGGGGGGAAGGGGGGAGGATGCGGGAGGGGGAATGCGCGTCACGTCTGCCATGCGTCCTCTTGCAGCCGCGTTCCTCTCTCGCTGCTCTACCCAATCTCCTAAGACCACCCTCGCTATACGCACACACCCCTCTTTCCCCTCCCCGTCATCCTCCCCACCCCCAACCCCCCTGTACTTCCTGCACCCCCACAACAAATGAACATTCATATCTCGGTTCTCCTTCCTCCTCGCCGCGGCTCTTTCAGCTTGCTTCCTCCCATGATCTCAACCCACTCTGCCATCCACCGTCCCTCATCCCCCATTCCCTTGTCCCCCCTTCCCC